AAAATCCCAACATTGTAATATTTATATTTAAACACAATTGAAAAAGTCAAAAATAAAATTAAAACATTAAAACTGTAGTCCTATTTAAAATCACTCAACCATAACATTATGTTCCTTATAAAGTACGCCAGCATGATATATATATATATATATATATATATATATATATATATATATATATATATATATATATATATATATATATATAGGACATTACACCCTTATTTACCTCCCCCCCCCGGAGAAATTACCCCCCTGTCAGTTACACCCCCCCCCCTCACTGCAGACCCACATTTTCAAGCATAAACCACTCAATCTGACAATACAATACAGTTTACGAAAAAAACAACAATGATGCAGAAAGATCAATCCGCAAGGCGATTCTATGCAATATATTTATTCTTTAACAAGCTGATACCGGTCGATAAAATGTAATGCGATAATATGTAATTAATATGCAATATGTTACGTTACAAACGGATTCAATTTTAGTGATTAAAAAATAATAAATATTTATTATCCACATATGTTTACACACTATGTAAATCTTTATAATGACGAGAAAAAACCGATATCTGCTAATCAAATAAATTAGGAAAGACAAGAGCTATGGCTAACACTTTTTTATTAGCTACGTATATAGTTACATATACATTTTGTATTTTAAAAAATTTCATAATCACAGCCAAAGTAAAACTAATTTTTTTAAGGTAATAATTGTAGGCACACTTAAAATTAATGTGTAAATGTAACTATCCGTTGGGCATGTTATGTTTGTTAAAATGCAAATATTTAAGAAAAACTTTGCATCAATTAGCATCATTTAACGACAGCATTACCCTGCTAGAAAACCGGTAACATATAACATATAACGAAATTAAAACGTTAGCACATATATGTATATAAACACTTTATACGTATATTAATTTAAAACTTATATAAATTTTTTAAAAATGTATAATTTGTCTTCTCCGAATTCAGTTAATTTTAAGTTATTTATTTGTATGTACTTTTTAATGTCGAGTATTAATTTACAATTTTATTTTGTTTATAAATAAAATACATACTAAATTGACATACGCGTTGTGTTTTTTTTTTATTTTTTTACTAGGAAAGAAAGCGTAGAGCACACACTTAATTACATGAGCAGCCCAGTTGTTACTCCTCTAGCGTTTTTAAAGATTATACCTTCATCTTCCTGCGCTAAACATATAAATAAGATAAAGAGGTCTAGTATTGTTTTATGTTTATTGTTATAACTGAGTCCATTGTTGATGCTAGTGAGTTCTACCTCCAGTCCACCTTCATCCGCCTGAATTGGGATAGGTCGTAATTTGATAGAAAGCAATCCCCTTCCTTCCAAGCTATGTGCAAGCTAGTAGTTGTACCGGTCACCTTGTCTTTTACCTGGGATGTGAATTTGAGGAAGCACGTCACGTGATGTAAAGTAAAGTAAAGTTTCCCTTTCAAACCTGACGGTCTATGGGGCAAGTGGAGTAGAGTTCTCCTGTTTCTGTGACCTCGGCATATGAAGAGATAGTGTCGTCAGCACTATGCCCAGCCGCCTTTACTTTCCCTTACGTGAGTTAGGTACCAATCAGAGTTGGGTGGTCTCAGGGACGGTCTATTGACTTGAACCCGGATTCGAACTCGAGACTTACGGGTTAGCAGTCCAGCTCTCTACCGCTAGACCACACGGCACGTGATACCCTATTGTATTCGAGGTTAAGTCAGGACATTAACCCCAGGCTAGGTGGTCAGGGTCATAGGACAGTTGGATGTTAGCCTGAGGAGCATGTAGACGTGTTTTGTGTGGTAAGGCTGGCCGCTAAGGCTGGTCGCTATTGATGGCCAAGTTTATCTTCTGCTTTAGACTAGGCTAAAAATATCATGGAGTGTTTAGTATCAACCATCCCTGCTGAGCTGAGATTTGTGTTTGCGTTTATTTTGAATAATCACGCTATCCACTGTTGATGTGTCGAGTTCACTACACACCTGTATAACCTCTCACTGAAGTCCTCAACGAAATCGAAGCCTTGTACCAATTATATTCTATATATATATATATATATATATATATATATATATATATATATATATATATATATATATATATATATATATATATATATATATATATATATATATATATATATAATTCTCTTCTTGGAGACGCTAGAAAACAAGCTGTAAGCGCGCTCCCTACCACCCCACCCCTACATGGTCTGGTGAGCTGTGGTTCATGCTAAATGTTTACAATCGTAGAGCCGGGTTTAGTGTCGGCTATTAGGGGCAGATAATTTAGTTTGAAACGATTTTAAACTTAGGGGAGGTAACTAAGAGGAGGCTGCTTTCACGGGGGTGGGGGGGGGGGGTGAAGGGTAGGGGTTGGGGGAAAGGAGGGTGGGGGTAGTATCGTCCTTAACGACCTACTGATAGTGTTTTAAAGCAAGTATTTTCAGTGACAGCATTGGTACTGTCGAATTCACAAATTATGAATTACTGAAAAGTAGAAAATAAAACAACTAAATAGCCGCGTATGATACGCCGCGAGTCGGCTCGTTCTGATGATTTCATAACACCCATCTAATGTGTACCGTACATGTTTTACTGTTTATTTTAAATAAGCATAACTGTTTTATTCATTAATATTTCATATTAATCATCATAGTTTATCAAACAACATTTCATCAACATAATAACGACGTATAATATTTAACTATAGAAATAAGAAGAACATTTTATCAAATACGCATTAATTCGATTTTCTTGATTAATGTAAAGAATCCACTCAGGGTCGGAACTACAGTGCCGCCAGACCCCGCAATGCGGGGGGGGGGGGGGGGTTGGGGGGGGGGCTCGCCATTTAGGGGCCCACGGCCAACACTAATAGTTTTTATTGTAGTTAAAAAAAAATCTACTTTTCTTGCAATATTTGACTTGATGTTTGTTTTGTAAAACGATTACCATAGCTGCGGTTGGATTATCTTTATTTTATAGACACCACCCCATTAGTTTTCCCTTTATTTTTTAAACCACTGTGAAAGCCGAGTCCTCTTTCTTCTACAATTAAACTTAACAAAGATAAGCAAACGTTCAAACCACTTCCATGACTTATTTCCCTTTTTTAAATAGTCAAATTAGGGTGCTCATAAGCACATTTTAATAGATTTGTACTAAATAAATTAAAAAGCAATTACTTCTCTTATTAAATATATTTTCATAAAGTACTTACTAAAGAATGACCTTGTATAAAAAGGAAATGTATTTAAAATTAATAATATAAATACAAAAAACTTAAAAATAATCATAACACGAGGCACCATTACTTCTACAACGATTTCATGTTTTATATTCTTTTTGCCGGATAGTTAAGTGAACTCATGGTAGATAAAATGAAATTGATTTTCTCAAAACACACTAATGCACTTACATACATGACATGATGTTGTAATTTGTTTTTATTGAAAAAAAAACATTTTATTTCAAAACCCGAACAGGCCAGCAATGAGTATCCTATGCTCTGTTCGTACTTTGTGTTTGTATATATATATATATATATATATATATATATATATATATATATATATATATATATATATATATGGGGCCTAAAAAAGTTTTTGCGGGGTGGCCATTTTTTTCTAGTTCCGCCACTGAATCCACTTCGACATCCTGCAGTAATTTAAGTTAGTCAAAGTTTAAGAACCACTGGTCTGAGGTGATAATTGGATGTTTAGGTGATTTTTTCCAATAAATAATATCATAACTGCAAAGTATGTCAATAATAACACCCGCCTAGAATTACACCTGATATAATATGCTAATGTAAATAATTGTTAGTTTATGAATTTTTAAACTGAATTTGAATTTTTAAGACACAATATAACTTATTTGGAATTAAAGGAAAAAAACAACTTAAATTGCATACTAACAAAGGCAAATATTTAGGGCTATGTAGTGAGGTTAATGCGCAGGAGCTATCTGAGTGACGAAATTTGTTTACGACGGACTCAATCCATACCTGGAATTCCCGATACGATATTGCTCTTCTACATGCACTTACTTTAATAAAACTGTCGTCCAATATAAAATCACTTTGCGTTCCTTATAAAGTACGCCAGCATGATATATATATATATATATATATATATATATATATATATATATATATATATATATATATATATATATATATATATAATAGACGTTGTCTTGTTGCCTTCAACTCTTTCGTCGTGTTCATTATGAAGACATAATATCACTTTTTTGAAATTAAAGGTAAATTGCAGACTAAAGGCAAATATTTAGGGCTATTTAGTGAGATTAATGCGCAGGAGCTATCTGAATGACGAAATTTGCTTACGACGGACTCAATACTTATGTGGAATTCCCGATATGATATTGCTCTTCTACTTGAACTTACTTTAATGTTAAAAAATGTCCCATTTGGGTCTGTTTTTATATGTCATACACAATTTTGCCGATAAACCCCTCCCCACTTTAGCCTCTACCACACACACACACCCACACACACTTACATACAAAAACGTCTGTCTTTTTAAAATGAAGGACGTCAATCTTCAGCCCATCGCATCCCTAATTGTTTTTGATTTATTTTATTGTAAATGTGATTCTCATATAAAAAAATAACAACCGCGATAGGTAAGGATTAGGTGTAGTGATGAATACATTTTTTTTTAAAGTAGGTTTCATATTACTTCTTGTTTTAACAATAATTTGATTTTAAAAATCACTTTCAGAAATTTATTTTTAAAAATCTGTAAAAAATGTAAACCTCGAGCAAATCAGTTAAACACCAAAAGTAATAGATCGGGAAAAAACAACTACTAATAAATTGGATATTAATTATTTTATAATTTGAAATTCGTAATGTTACAATTAACAAGTCCAATATGTGTGTAAATTATTATGCGTATGTAAAAAACAACTTTGCAAAAATCTGGCCGAATTACTTTTGGGTTTTCCAAGCTGTGGTGTCGGGTTTTCCCGTTATTATTTGGAGCTTACGTAAATATATTTCAGCTAGATAGGTTGATTTACTTCTTGTACGACAAGATTTACGTTGAAGTTTAATTGAATAGATCGAACACAATTAGACTTAAACATAAACTAATTGGTTTTATTCGTGGTTGAATGATAACAATCATCAGTCTGGTACAATGATGAGTTATTCATAACAAATTTGATAATCGTCGTTCTCATGTTTGCTGAAGAAAGTTTCGAAGAGTCAGTTCACTGGAAAAACAAGAAAAAGTTTGTTCTTGACGAAGAGTTTAAAGCTCTTAACCTCAGGTAATATTATCTTTTATATTTACTGATAATTAAGATTTACATAGAAATAAAATAGAGTGAAGCTTTATTAATAATCGGATTTAAAGAGAAACTACCAGATTCGAGTCAAAGAAGATGGTGTAGGCTACTTCTTTAAACTAATCTTTGCGTGCATTGTATAAGTCCGTAGAAAATTAGTAGTACATTATATATAATAAAACTTATTGACATAGGAGAAATATAAAATGTTTAAATAAGTATATTCTAAAATAATTTTCACATAACAAATCACATATTCCCCTCTGCTTCTATAGATCTGGGTTTTGTCCAAATTTTTTATAGGTCAACCCTGTTTAAAGTTGTCATAAAAAAAGTGTGTAACATTTAGTCTTCTCTACAGAGGCGTAGCGACCCTTCCCGGCGCCCGGGGACAAACTTTCGATTTGCACCCCCCCCCTCAAGATTTCGAATTCCACCCCCCTCTAGCTTTCATTTTTATTTTTCCAACCCATTTTAAATGTCCCCCCCCCCCCCGCTACACTACTGCTTCTCTAGTAAAACTGTGTCAAATAACATTCTTGACACCCAAACACCAGGGGCGGAACTGCCATGCCGCCAGACCTCGCAATGCAAGGGGCGGGAGGGGGGAAGGGGAAGGGGGTTGAGTGGAGGAGCAGGCTATTTAGGGGGGTGGGGGACACAGCCGACCACAATTAATAATTTTTAAAAAAGTGTTAATGTAACTTTCGTGCATTTTTGCCTTGATGTTTTAGTTCGTAAAAAAAAATACTGTAGCTGATCTCCAGTAAACATTAAAACCACTACACAAACTTAGTGTAAAAATAAATTTGGTTAATTTCCGTGACTTGTTTCTCCCCTTTAATAGCCAAATAGGAATGGAGGGGGAGGGGGGGGGGGTACGACGTTGACACATTGGCATTAAAACTGTTCCACAGGACCTCGAAAGTGTGCTATGCAAAATAACAGTCTGGGCACCGAATCACTTGGCAATAACAAAAGAAACAACATATGGCCCAGCTTGTGTAATGTTTTTTCTAGAACAGGACACTTAGAGAAGACGAGGTCATATTATATTTAGTGTAGGCTATCGTAATGTGGCCTGAATGAAATAATTTTAGCTCTTCTGAGAAGTGATGCCTTTTTTAAGTTTTATTTTAATTTTAAAGAACTCGTTATTTAATTTATATATTGAATTAAGTTGCTTAAAATTCCAGTAAGCAGATAGATTAAATGTTTTTTTAAAAAATACACGTTTCTGTGTAAAAAAAGTGAAAGTATTTTCAAATTAACTGATTGTCAAAAGTAGGCCCTATATCGAAATCTCCCGAAAAATAATCCATTAATCGGCGCTACCAACATCGTTCTAAAGATTTTTCAAAACTAAATGTACTTTCATAGTTAATCAAATGTGTCTTACGTATATATATATATATATATATATATATATATATATATATATATATATATATATATATATATATATATATATATATATATATATATGAGTGTGTCTGTGTGTATATTCGTTTAATTTATTGTTTTAAAAATATTAACGTAAATTTACCAACCAGTAGATCATTATATTTTAAATGGCTATGTAATTGATGTTCATACATTGTTTTTGCAGTAGAGCAGAAATGGGAAATAAGTCTAGTACTAGTAAAAAGAAAGAACCACAACCTAAACACTTACAGGGGGGCCATGTTCCAGGTAACACATCGTCAACATCGTACTACTCGTTATCTCTTGTCTTACATATGTATGCTTTACAATACAATGTATAACAGTTTAAAACAAAAGTCTGGTGCTACTTTGTTATCCATATATTTAGCAGAAACATGCAAAAAAAAAAGTTGTAATGTTTTATATGGGGTCATTCATAAATGATGACGCGTTTTTTGCCGATTTTTGCCTCCCCCTCCTACATCACACATCGTCTGAAAAAGTAAGACACTAACCCTTAAAATAACTTCACACCTTGTGCCCCCCCCCCCATCAAAATTGCAGTTTTTTAAAGTTCCATTTTTTTTCAAACCTTCACTGAGCTTTATCAGCTCAGAATATTATCGTCATTTTCTATTACAATTGATTCAGTTTTCTAAAACTCGAAAAACGTCTAAATTCTATTTCTAACCTTCTGACGTTACATATTCTATACCCTCCCCCCCCTTTTCACTTTTCACACGTCATCAAAATTACGGACTCCCCCTACCCCCTCTGAGTGTGACGTCAATCCCAATGTTGTTTGATCTAATTTCAATGTACCATTTATCGTACTTTGAATTATACCAGACATACCATTAAAAAATAACATACCTTGCTATTCATTGAAACATTTTTTTTATTCGCATAAATATTATCACTTTTCAGTAAGTAATCTAGTTTTTAAGTAGTCTTGGTCATTTGAGATCGTTTAAATTATTTGAATGAAAGACTTTTATATTATTAATGAAACGTTCCCCTTTATTATACAGAGGCTGACGTTGATGAAGGTGTTATTTGTACTGTGGTACTACCGGACGGCAAGGAGGAGAAAAAACGTGTGTTTCGCTCATTTAGAATGAACGAAGTAAGGTGTAGAATAGCTTGCAATAATTTGCACCCCATATACACAGGGCTTAAAATTTCCAGGACGGGTGGCTGACAATAGTTAAACAATATAGCCCATATATTCTGCATAACTAAGATATATATATATATATATATATATATATTATATATAGTCCGGGAATAAGGGTGGATCTGTTGCATGGTGTGGGAGAGAGTTGGGAAACGCCCGTAGGGTGATGCCTTAAAGAAACAAATCTGAATACAAATTATGTCTTGCCTTTTTGTTAATAAATTAAATATTTGTTAACATTTTTTTAAATACTACTAATTATTTTTTTAATCAAAGAGGGTTTTGTCTTGGTGTTCAAATAGCCTACTGAACCTATAACTAAACTTACCAAATAAATTGACGAAAACATGTCTTATGCTAAATTATTGAACCTAATTATTTTTTATATTAAACATTGTTTTAGTGTTTGTTTAAATACTTAACCAATTACTTAACTAACCAAGTAAATTGATGAAAACATGACTTATATTTTTTAAACAGATATTTTTTAAATAAAATGAATGTTTTAGCGTTTTTTTTTATATAATCAAGCTATCACTTAGCTATTTAAATAAATTATGTTCCAGTTTTTGAAAAACCACTTACCTGTTGAGTTTGACGTCAGCGACTACGAGGTCGTCATCTACAAATCCAACAACGAAACTGTGATACCTAAACCGAATGAAGAATTCGAGGAGTACATGGATGACTTGCATCAGATCAGGATCGCAGCCAGAGGGTAACTTGGCTGCAGTCTTTACGTTTTAGCTAGGTTTTAATTCATTAATAGTTCAATATTACTTGAAATCATCTTTTTTCTCGGTCGTGCCCATGTGACAGATGGAGTAGAGTTAATCTGTTTTAGGGACCTCGGCAAATGAGGGATAGTATAATTTGAACCCGGATTCGAACTGTTTAATAATCTAGCTCTCTAACGCTGCCAGGCCACGCCGCCCAATATTGCTTTATAAATACATTTATAAAAATGTATTTCATGTACAGATATTGCGTGATAGTATGAGTATATGTTTACTGTGTATGTTTGCTGTGGCTGCTCGTCGTGGAGTATTTTTCATGTTCTGGAGTTTATGTAACTGGAGGGGATAAAGGGAGATAATTTTTAGAAAATCGTTTTTTTTTTAATTTATTTTTTTAAAAAGAGAAAAATATGTAACTGTTGACAATTTTTCTTAGTAAAAAATATGCACTTAATACACTATTTTATTTACCACACAAGTTTTCGCAAAAGTATTAGCTCGGAATATCTTCAATTAGCGCAGGGATTTATTAACAACTATTTTTCTTACCAGCTGGTGGCATATGGCTGGCACTTTTTCAGCCACCTCAGACATAACTTTTATATTTTGTTCATTTCATGAATATTTTCTTTTTAATTTCATTCCAGTGTGGTTCATTCTCGCGCGGCAGAAAAACACATTGGGAATGTAAAGCTTAAATAGATGGATGGAGAAGCTGGCTAATTAAATATTTAATAGATTAACCATTAATTGGTGGTAACATGCAATCACTTGTTTGCACTGCAAATTACAAATGGTAATTCATATTTTTTTTATCCATATTATGTAATTGAAAGTATGTTTGTTGAGCATTTGTTCTAAATATTACTTTTACTGCTGCTAGTATTATAAACTGACATTTCCATTTTATTTTATTTTACTTTATGGTTTGTTCATTTTTTTAAAAATAATATTAACCGAACAACAAATAAAAACGTATGTATTGCTATATTTGTGTGAAGTAAACGTTCTAAATAGTAGCAGTTGGTTCGTTAGTGAATATTTACCTGAAGATTTTAACCATCGCTTGAGAAAATTTGCTATGAAGGAGCGGTGGTAATTAAAATGTACTAAGTAGGGCATATACATTTTTATATACACTTTATATTATTTCTATTTTACTCGAGGGGTGGTATGCCCCCCCCCCCCCCTGGAGAGATGTATTAACATAAGTAATATTGCTAACGTTAAATAATTTTTTTTTAAAATGTAAATAAAAAAAACTAGAATCAATCTATTGTCAAAACAAAAACTCCCACATATCTTACATTTGTTACAATTTTAAATCGACAGATCCGCTATGGCAACCAAGAAAACATACTTTGAAATCACATGTACAATAAACATGTTTCTCTTTTGTTAAAAAAAAAGTGTACATTGCATTTTAATCCAACGAATTTGTGTTTATATGCGTGTATGACTGATAAGAAATGTGTGGCATTGACTAAAATAATATATTAACCATCAGTCCTCAAATTGTTTTTTTTTTATTTTTCAAAGTAAATCAATTTTTTTATATTTTCACATTTCTATTTCCATTCTTCCATCTGTGGAATATTAGTCTGCTACATATAAAATTACATGTTTATAAAAAGACCATATTTGTACACAATGGTTAAATATAAATGTGTATGTTATATTTGTCAATCTGATTATGATTACTTGTGGAAATAAATTGGGAGTAAGCTGCTCGAAACTTGTATATTCTTTATTCTTTACTTTGGATGTGAGGGGGGTAAAAGCTAAAAATCAATTTCCCAACAGAATTGGTTGGCGTATCGATCTTTCTCGGCGCCCGGGGACAAACTTTCAATTTGTCACCCCCCCACCCCCCACCCCCCCCCCTTATATTTTTTTTATATTTATAATGCAAAAATGCAGCTAAAATAAGCTTTTACTTTTTTTCAAACCCATTTTGGCACCCCCAAGGGTCGGTGCCCGGGGACATATGTACCCCACGCCTCCACCCTTACTACGCCTCTGGTTAAAATTCAAACGAGAGTCGTCAACCCGCCAACCCCCCCCCCCCCCCCCCCCACCTATATATACAAATACATGCCTAGAAATAATTAACTCGAAATAAGGTAAAATACAATACATGCTCCGTGGGAAAAATGTGTTGATAAAACCAGTGCGGTGCCACGTTGCTTAGCGCCCTAGGCTAAACTAACTTATCAAAACGCCCCCTTTCACACACATCAATTACAAAAACATGTATAAGGACACAATAAATGTAAAGTGACATATTAAATTATTATCAATTGCATAAACTTTACAAGTAGATTTCAAAATCAAAATTAAATTTTTTCGTTTCTTCTTCGTTTCTACTAATTCCATGTCGAAGCGTGTGTCACATTCTATTGAAATGTGGGAGGTGGAGGAGAAGGTATTTTTACCAAAGCGAATACCTATAGAGCCTATCTAGGCCCATTCGGGGAAGGAGGGGGCGCAAAAATTGGTATTCATCATGTGCACTGAAATAAATAGCTAAACCTTCGTATAATACCCTGTCTATAGTTTATACAATGTTATCAAAGTAATAAATATTTTGTACTTTTTAAAAATGAAGATTAAAATTTTTTGTACCCCACTGTGGATAGAGACCTAGGCGACAGCCTAGTTCGCCTTTGGGGCCATCCATCAATGACGTCACGTTTTTTTTTACGTTTTTTACCTCCCACCCCCTCCCGTCCGTCACACATCGTAACAAAAAGCTAGTCCCCCCACTCCCCTAAAATGACCTCAGCCTACAACCCCCCCCCCTCAAAATTGCAGTTAAACATTTCTTAAAAAATCGATATTTTTCCAAAATCTTGTCTGAACTCTGTCAAAATAGAGTATTTTTATCAATTCCTATTACAATTTAATAAAACCATTTTCTAAAAGGCGGAATAACGGCAAAAACTCGTTTTCTGACATTGCTTTTATATATATATATATATATATAATGCAAAAGTGTGACGTCATACCATCTAAACCCCCCTTTCCCCCTCCCCGTCATCATACACCGACACACAATTATGGACCCCCTCACCCCCCATTCGAGTGCGACGTCATTTATGGACGACCCCTTATAGGTAGCGCCGTCCCTGCGTTTAACATTATCTTGCTTTGATTTTTTCCCTCTCTGGACGTGTAAGTCTATGGTACGCATGTTGCAAATGTAACTATAGTTTTAATAGTTTTATGAGCCGTTATTGGCCTATAAACTATACATCTAAATGGCTAGAACTACCTTCTTTGTAGCTAGAACTACCTACCCCACACCCAGAGGAAGCTAGAACTAATTGCCCCTATCACCAGAGTTTCTTCCAGGTGTCTTCCAGTCTACCTCCCCCCCCCCCCACCCGAACGAAATTTATTTCCAAAACACTTTTACCAGTACCCGTCCCCCACCCAAGGAAAATGGTGTCCGCTCCCCCTCCCACCCTTTAGTTCGCTAGTAGTATCAACCCTTTAATTCATCAATCAGATACATTGATTGATTCATTCAAAGGCTACATTGTACCAATGTTACTTTGTATTAAATGCTTATTTCATGTAGCCTATAGGCCTACCTAAATTTAACATTAGGTTTTACCATTTTACTCATCTCAGTGAAGTAACAACTCACTGTTGTGTGTTGGTGTGTTGGTGTGTTGGGGAAATGGGAGTGAGGGCGGGGGGTAGCCCCAAACATTTTATCTTTGTTATTCTACACGGGGTCGCACATCATTGTCGAATCCTGGTCTATTTATAACCTAGTTAGTTTTCACTACCACTTTGAATAGCAGTTAGTCATTGGTCAATTAAAAAAACAGGATATCACTATTGAGTTCACTGAAGTGGTGTGTGTAAAAACAAATGTGTCAAACAGCGCGAAAGTGTGCGAACACTTGGTAGATCTAGATACAGACGTTCAAGACGGATCTAGATCTACATGCTAAAGTGTACTTAAAATGGTAATCTCACCATATAGCTTCGAAAATTATCTGGTAATGTGTGTTGAATTTCGGTAAGATTCGTTACTGTAAAACATAGTTTATTTGACCGTTAATATAAAAATAAAGATACGTGCATTAAATTAATGTTTTAACTTAATTTAAAATATAATTGACAGAAAATTAGCAAAAATTAGTATATCTAAATATTATTTAATAAAATCGAGTGTAATAATTAATATGTTTTTAAGAATCACAGAAAGAAAAAAACTAGACTCTAGATCTAGTAAAATAAGACGATTAGATTCACTAAATGTTACTAAATGTTAAGTAGCAGCAATAAATAGCACATAGGCTTAAAATAATTAAAAATACAAAATAATTAGCAAAACATTATTTAAAATCCAACTAAAATCAATCCATGACTCATCAAGGACTCTTCTGTACTATACTATATAGGGTATAGGGCTTATAGATTTCTTCTAAAATAAATCTAGATCTAGATCTACTATTAAATACTCAATATACTACATATTATATTACTTCAACATACTAGATCTAGTGGATCCAGAATATAGTCTAATATCTAGATTAAATAGACTCTTTTTTTATTTAGGACATGGTCTTCTTCTTATATTTTGATATATGTGTTGCCTAACTTTAAAATTATAATGTTACAGGCCGATACAATATGTATATTTAGGCCTATAGATCAAAATTCTAGATCTAGGCCTTACTTTTTAAAATTAGGCCTTATTGGTAATCTCTCTCTCTCTCTCTCTCTTTCTCTCTCTCTCTCTCTCTCTCTCTCTCTCTCTCTCCCTCTCTCTCTCTCTCTCTCTCTCTCTCTCTCTCTCTATATATATATATATATATATATATATATATATATATATATATATATATATATATATATATATATATATTACCTATATATATATATATATATATATATATATATATATATATATATATATATATATATATATATATATCAAAATATACCATATATGCCCTCTATATAATGGCCTTTTTTTCATTGTAAAATTATATATTATTTATATAAATTACAGAGGACTATAGGCTCCCTATGTAAAATAACAAAATAGTGAACCAAAATTTTTTTTATGTCTGACTAGTCTATTTTGAGACTAAATTAAAATTAATGTTCAATGGTAAGCAAAGTAGTAGGCCTATATCACACAGTTATACAGGATTTAAGTTTTTAAAAACTCATTTAAATATCGCAAAGCCTTATTGAAACCTATCCCTTTCCAGTTTTGTAACCTGTTTAATGTTATCATTTATCTCCTATACAATTTTTGCATTTGCTTGTATCATAATTCCTCAATTTAAAGTTCAAGGTTATTTTTTCTATGTAGTCTATCATTAGTAATTTTGTTATTCACTACCTTCACTCATCTAGTCTACTTCACTTTGCATTAGTTTTATTTACTGATCCTACATTAATTTATAATTGCATTAATACTGATCTAAAAGAGCTGAGCTTAATAGCTTATAGATTAAATGTATGCAGTATGGTTATTTATTTCAATACTTATTTTAACAACTCATCATTATTTATAAATTATTCTTTATATTTCTTTATGCAATTATGTCTTCTTTAACGACTAATGTTGTTGTAATATTTTTTTGCGTTCACTTGTTATATTAGTAATTAGTTTTAACTTATCTATACCTTTTTTGTCAAAAAAAAAAGACTTTTTAAAGGCTCTATATTTTAACTACCATGTTTGGAGATTTAAAATATTACATGTTAAATTACTTTAAATCTTATAGTGTGCTCATTTACTGCTCGAGAAGTTTGCCAACAAGCTGCTAATTTCTTCCTATCATTTTTTTTTCTTTTATTATTTTACTTTTGTAAGTCATATCAAGAGAAGTAGTTAGTTCAAAGGGACGTAATGTGTATACATTTTTTCAGACACAATGAGAATTTTTATGAAGGGCAATAAATCTAGTTTGATTTTGTTTAATGCAGATTTGATGATATGATGAAAAATGAAAATGTGCTTTGGGGTCGTCCATAAATGAAGTCACACTCGTAGGGGGAGGGGGTCTGTAATTTTCTGACGGTGTCTGATGAGGGGGAGGGGGGGGGGGGGGTTCAGATGGTGTGACGTCACTTTTTTGCATTATAAAAAAGCAATGTTAGAAAACGCATTTTAGCCCTTATTTTGCGTTTTAAAAAAACGGTTTTAATAAATTGTATTAGGAATTGATAAAAAGTATGTATATTGACAGAGTTCGGACAAGATTTGGAAAAATTCAACAGCAATTTACACACAATGTAAACCTTCATAATGACGAGAAAAAAAAAAACAACGATAACTACTAATCATATCAATTAGGAAATACAAAAGCTAACACATATTTGATTTGTTACGTATATAGTTAAACATTAATTTTATATTTAGGTTTTTTCATAATCACAGCCACAGAAAAACTCTTATATAGTAACAACTGTAGTCACACTTAAAATCAATGTATAAATGAACTATCCAATGGGCATCATTTAACAACATCATTACCCTGCTAGAAAACTGGTAACATATAACGATATTAAAATGTTAGCACTTATTTAATTAAAATTTTTATACGTATGTTATTTTAAAAATTCAAATACATTTTAAAATTATGGAATTAGTCTTCTCCGAACTCAGTTATTAAGTTTTTAAGTTATATATTTGTTTGAACTTTTAATGTCGAACCTTAATTTACAATTATATTTTTTTTTATAAATAGAATACAAACTAAAC